CTTGGTCATGCACTCGTTGACCCCAGACCGAGAGGGGTCGGTTATGGGACGGATGGAGCCATCAGGCTTGAGGACGACGTGCAGGGGGTTGACGACGGCAGCAACGTCGGTCTCGGAGCCATGCACGCTGGGGTCATATTGCTCGGTGACGCCGGAAGCCAGGAGGTCATCGAAGTGCTGGCTCATGTCGGCGAGGTGTGGGAGGATAGAGGGATAGTTGTGGAGGTGGTGGGACGGGTTAGGCTCCGCATGGAATGCCCAGACGGCCGTGTTGCGGGACGCTGGCGTATCCACTCCATACCGCAGCCATGCCTCGGTGATGAGCTTGCTGCCCGCGTGCCCGAACCAAGGGCGCCCCGGGGCTGGAGGGAGCGGTTCGGGGATTATGGCCGCCCCGCCCGTAAAGCTCAACCCCACTGCCGGCACCAGCACCACCACCGCCGCCGCCGGCGATCCGGCACCCCCCCTCCTGCCCGCCGCCTTGCCACCCGACGTCAGAGAGTAAGTGGCGGCGGCGGCGGCAGCAGCCAGTTGCTCGTCCAGCTCTACTCGTACAAAGCCATCCAGCAATGGCGACCTTGGTGCCGCCTCCGCCGCCGACAGTTTTACTTCCGGCTCTCCGGCGGCCGCCTTGCCCGTTGGCTGAGATGGTGGCGGTGGTGGCGGCGGCGGCGGTGAAGGGAACACCGGGTCCACCACCTTCTGTACGACCTCCTCTATCAGGCGAGGTAGCAGATCGCTCAGATAGGCACCCGCACGGAAGAGAGCTGGGGAGGTGTTCACCTGCCACACCGCTACTTCTGGCGTATCAGCCTATCTATCCTCCGGATCAGCTTCGCGCGCGCGTTGTTTATCATCCCCCCGCACTTTCCAATAATCAATCTTCCTTAGAGCCCGGTAAGCTTAGTCTATGTAGCGCGAGACTCATAGACGTGTAGTCGTGGATTCGAGTCCCATACGCGGTGTTGATAAAGAATGTATTATGAAATGTAAGCTTACTAGTTGAAATCGGCGAGTATGGCCGCGAATGCTGCCAAGTGCGAGGTCCTTCACTTTTGGGGGCACTACACGTGAGCGAAAGCGGCTTATGGAAGCTGAGTATCGGTTAGGTGGGGTGACACACACACACACACACACACACACACACACACACACACACACACACACACACACACACACACACACACACACACACACACACACACACACACACACACACACACACACACACACACACACACACACACACACACACACACACACACACACACACACACACACACACACACACACACACACACACACACACACACACACACACACACACACACACACACATGGACGCAGTGTATTATGCATACCTGGAGATATTGTGGTGTGCACGTATTGTGACATTCCCCACACCCGGTGTGTGTATGAACTAAACTGTAACTCATCGGGGGGTGTCTGGGGGGGGGTGTAGCCCCCCCCAGCGCCTTACAGATTAAGAATACTTTTATTCCCGCGACTAATAATCTATTTATCCGTTCGGACTGGAAAATTGACGGGCGGTGCTGGCGGTGGTGGCCGTGCTGGCGGTGGTGCCGGTGGTGGTGGCGGTGGTGGTGCCGGTAGTGGTGGTGGCCACTCTGGCGAACAGCAGGCGCTATGGCCAGCTGTAGCGGCTTTGCAAAGTCGGGTGCCGCATGATGCCGCCTTCTCGCTCGAGTTCCTGCAAGCCGTATATGATATTTGCACGACTCCATGTCCCGAAGCCACCCCTTAACAGGATCGACGTAAAAAAAGTAGCAACGTGCTGTCGACTGTCTGTTGCAGTATATCTATTAAGAGATATTTCCCTTGCTTATTTGGCACTTGTACATGTGGTGGCTAACCCCCTCTTGTGTCAGTCAGGGTTCCAAGTTGTTGTCGCTATCTGCCATACTTGTTTCTCTTTTGTTGTTACAGGGTGGTTAAGCTTCACCAGTGGCCTCCTTCCCGAGGCAATTCCCTGCTCTCCCCTGCTAGAGGGGCACCCTAATCCATTCACCCCTTCCGACTTCAGAGTGTACTCTTTGAGTTTGGCAACTCACCACCGGCATCCAACCAAATCTAGCGGATCAACGACGCCTCAACTTAGTTCCTGGTCAGCTCGCAAGTTGATTTTATCACGTCCTACACCGTCCACAAGATGGGGGGCCACCTCCCAATTCAACACCCCTCCACACACCCGAGAGGTCGGCAGGCGGGTTTGTACCCGGGTCGGCTGGGAGCAGAGGTCAGGCTTTGCCGCCAGCCGCCTGTTTCTGTATTATGGGTGATAATTTCCGTGTGTGTTGTTGTAATGTGTGGGGATAGATGAAGTCCTGCAAAGGCTGCGAATTCCAAGGTTCAATATGTAAATGATTAATGCAGCGTTACACACGAGTGAAGGAGTGATTTGTTGAGAGCAATCGCATCATATGTTGGTTAGTTAGGAGTATATCCCTTCTTGCCGATTTATGTTTCTTCTGTCTGTTGGTGACATTGTTCAGAACATGGTGCAAATATCTATTCTCTAGAGTCTAGATGTTGACTTTTCATAAGTTGTAGCAA